AATTTGACCTTACTAAGTCCTTAAGTTGGACATCAGGAGGCGCTACTTCACGGTCAGGGCGGCTAGGGTCTGGAACCAGCTTCCAAGTGAGGTGGTGCAGGCTCCCACCCCGGGGGTTAAGAGGAGGTTGGATGACCACCTTACTGGGGTCATTTGACCCCAGTGCTCTTCCTGCCATGGCAGGGGTCGGACTAGATGATCTGTTCAGGTCCCTTCCAACCCTAGAAACTGTGAAGACTCTAGCAGTCTTCTGGTGTTTCTAATTTATTTCTAGGCATCATATTTTTGTTTCTGGTTATGAAGTGTCCAGTTTCTTGACTTTTTTTTTTTTTTAACTGATACTAGAACATTAAACTTGTCTTGCAGTGATATAGGGGTCACTAGCAAGGTTGCCTTTCTTCAGCCATCTATATAGCACCTCTTGAAAGACAAAATTATAGTATAGTGAAATCTAGGTAGTTATTTGGAGTTAAAATCCTGATATGCTATATTTATATTCCAGCTGACATCAGTGTAGTGCAGTCTATCCATGCACTTGGGCTAAAAAACTGTGAATATAATGGCATCTATGCAGAACATGGTTTGTCTGCAGATTGGAGTTGAGTGCCAATAGGATACTTCAAAATAATCTGCCTGGAGGTGGCTAAGTGTTTAGAATGAGAGGTGTTGCATGAAGGCAGGGTCTTCTGAGTCAGGTAAATTATTTGCATGCCACCTGGAGTGTGGCCACCCATAGGGGTTTCAGTTGCTACCATTGTGTTTCTATTTATCTTTTGTGTTTGTAAGTGTTTATCTGGAAGGATATTCAAAAAAAAGACAGAGAGAGAGTGAGCATGAGCGCAAATGGTAATGTTTTCTGTTTCACAGGCTTTGGCTCAAATGTCTTGGATTATGGCATGGTGGGAGGGAAAGAAGCTGGAACAGAATCTCGCTTTAAACAATGGACTTCTATGATGGAAGGGCTGCCCTCCGTAGCTTCACAAGATGCCAATATGCACAAAAATGGTGAGAGAGTGGTTTGAGGTTATTCTCCCAAAATGGTCAAAAGGAAACCTTTTCTTTTTAGTACCACTTTCACCCAGGTGAAAGGTACCGATAGAACAGTCTTCCTTCTAGTTGCTCTTTTGTCTGATTAACTTCTCTATTCATGTTTTTACGAATCACTAGTATCAGCTGCTGATGGGTGACATCTACTCCCCATATATCATTGCCTCTGACACTGCTGGAAAACTAGTGTGAAGTGTTGGTACTCCTGTGTTGATTTTTAAATCCTTAGTTCCAGTGTTCCTTCCCCTCCCCATTTTCCTCAGTTTAAATGCATCTTTCTCTTGCTTCTCAGGCGCGATAGTGCCCCCTGGAAAAGCCCGCGGAGGATCACCCTACAACCAGTTTGACATAATCCCAGGTGACCCCTTGAGTGGCCATGTGGGCCCTGCTGGTGATAGTTGGTTACCTGCCAAATCTCCACCAACAAACAAGATTGGAAGCAAATCCAGCAACGCCAGCTGGCCTCCAGGTATGGCACAAGGAAAGGTTCCAACTCCTTAGTTAAAATGCCAAGAGGTTTTTTTTTTTTCTTTTTCTTTTCAGCTTTTTTTTAATAACTGTCTCAGGAAATATATTTCTTGGGCTTTTGTATCCAGTTCATTATATTTCTTTGCACATTTAAATACGTGTTGAAGGCCTAGGTTCATAAACTTAAGTTGAGCTGAGAGCAGAAAAGCTTAAACTACAAAGTACCTACTCCAGATTCATTAGTCTCAAGTGAACTGTGACTACTGGGTTTGGGCATGGGGCTGTGACTAAAATCCTTTTTAATCTGCCTTGAGAGAACTTGAAATATCCTTTTGTACCATTTAGTTTCATACTGTTACGTGTGCATGAAGGCTAAACAATTTTGTCAGAAGTTTTGCTGACTGTAAGGACATAAATGTTTGGTTTTATGGTTGAGGACCTGGAGTTTTCTGTCTTGAGCTTGTTGCATTAATCCAGTATGAACTGCTTTGAGTGGCTGTAATGATGCACACCTTCCAGTGCAGATGCACACGCATTTCATATGCTCAGACTCTCTTGGAAGTATTGTGTAGCCAACAGTAACTGCATGGTATACGTGTACCTTGCCACTTGTTATGCTTTCCCCTGAGAGCATTAAAAGCAGTCCCATCTTTTGCACCTGAGTTCCTTTTGGCTGTTTCTTGCCACAATATGGAGCTTTTTGCAATTTCATTCAGCTGCCAGCCAAAACTTTATGGCATTGGCTAATGCCTGAGATGTGTGGTTATGCGTGCGTTGCACTGCCAGTGACATGTTCTGAAGCATAAGGAACTAAGATTTACAGCACTGCAGACACGTTTCTACTGTGGACTGGTGCTGTCCAGTCTCTCTCTACATCAGCAATGACTGAAGAAACGACCTCAGTTGTGTTCCTTATGCTATCTCACTGTCACTGAGCTCACAAGAAGTTCTCCCCTCACCATCAATGCCACTGGCATCACCAGTGGATATAGGGTTTTTTGCTTTTGTCAACCACTTAATTAGTATTGGGATAGCCAGGCCTTGTGAGTAGTTGCAAAGGTACTCTCCTAGGGCATCTTTACACATGCTTGGTGTGGGGGGTGCTTTAATTAGAGCAGCTCTCAGGAGCCACTCTGATTAAAGTGCCCAGAGCATCTTGTGTATTCAATGCCCCATGCTTCAAAATGGTGGCAGGGGACTTAAACTAAAGATTGTTCAATGATCTTTTAGTTTATAGCACCCTCACCGCCATTTTGAAGTGCAGGGGCTCTGAATATGAACATGCAACATTGAGGTGGCTGGAGCATGCTAACTAGCACGCTCCAGCAGACTTGATTAATCTGCTCTGATGTTCTGATTAGAACATGTTGGAACAGGCATCAAGCATGCATATAGGTGCACTAGAGCGTCCCCTACCTCCTTGATGATCCAGCTCCCTCAAAGGAGTTTGTTCCAGGATGAACCTCTACATAATGAAATATCAAGCACCATCCCATGCGCCATTATTTTTGACACCTTGTCATTATGGTTATATTGGCCATAAACTTGAAAAGAGAAATTTGACTGTTGGACAGGTCCTGTTCCTTCAGGCACCAGTTCATCTGTGCCCAAACCAGAGGACATGTCAAAAGAATAATCCAGTTTACAGAAGTGGAAGGTCTTACTCTACATCCTCCTCTAACCCAGAAGAAATGATGCCCTCAAGCATACCACAGCTAGACAGTTTCAGGGGATTGCAAGCAAAAGATGATCGCTTCTTTCAAATTCCCATGGAAGTATTGGACAACTAACATAAACTGGTGGATGTTCTCCACTAGGCCTCAGTGGGAAAAGTAGCTTTGGCCATGGGAGTCCCACCTTGTCCAAGAAACACCCAAAATCAAGCCTCCCATTAATACAGTTTTGACCCTGTTAGTCTCAAGGGGAAAAAGAGATGTCTAATAGCATGGTATCAGTGCAGTATGCTATACCTATGGATCCTGCAGCATATCTCAGGCTTTTGCTATAACACCATATTTGCCTTTGCATCAACAAACAGGGCTGGATGAGGTCTGTCTACACCATACCAGCAAGCAATCAGTGTTTTTAACTGCTGTAGCAGACACCTGTTTTCACTTTCTCTGATGTATTTTCTAGATCTTTAGAACAGCTGGGCACGCACACAACTTCTGAGTAGTGTTGCTTCTCTCTCCTTGATACAAGATGATTCACCAATACCATATAAGCTATGCCAATGCCTGTCTTCCTAGGGTACCTTCTGCCAGCTTTTGAAATGGAACACCCTGTCCCTAGGCACCGTGGAGGTACACTGTCAACCGGATCTGACCAATGCATTCCCACCAATAAAGAATTGATCCCTCTGTGAGATCTCACTCTTTAACCTTTGTGGCTCTCATGGATCTACTAGCAAGTCAGTGCTATTATAAGGAAAAGATGGATTTACTGATTGCTGTTATTTGTGGGAGAGAACTGAGGTCTGGTGATGGGATCCCCCTTTAGGTTTTTTTTGTTTGTTTTTTCCTTCTGGACAGTGTACCTGGGAAGATATTGTTTGATTCTTTGAAAGGTTGAATGGGTTAATTCTTTGGAAGCAGAAGCCAAAGGCATAGCTCACATCCAGCGTATAAAGTGATGCCCTCATTCTGGTAGTATGAAGTTGGGCAGCAGGAGGGAATTATTTATTTATTTATTTCTCTCCCACCCTGCCCATTTTCCCCCCCCTGCCATTTCTTGCTGACAATGAGGGCATCACTTTATACCTTGGATATGAGATGTGCTTACGGCTTCTTCCAAAGAATCAAACCATTTAGTTATTCGTCTTGGGTTTTTTTTCTGGCAGAGAGGTTGAAGCACATGTTGATCTCTACCACAAGGCTTTCTCTGGCTCTACAAGGGCAGGCTATGAAATAGCTAAGGTGGATCTTGCTATATCTGTTAAAGCACGTTCTACCATAGGTCAAGCAGCTTCTATAGCATTTGTGAAACACACCCATTGAATAACAGACCACCAGGAATTCTATTCAGTGTCAGTCTCTGAAAGTGTTGATTGAATGTTGTATTGGCAAAGTTGCTGTTCTTCTGAGACTCCAAGAGCCCACCTTGAATGGACTGATCATATTTTTTTGAAGTCAGCTCTAGTGGAAAATATGTATGACAGTCACTTGAAAGAGAAACAAGTTACTTATCCTGTAGTAATTGGAATCATTTTAGATATTGTCCATGTGTACATTCTGCAGCTTACATTTCATTGCCTCTTCTTTGACATCTCCACATATGAAGTAGCAAGGTGAAAGGAATCTGAGACATGTCAGCCATGCACTAGCCTTTATGCTCTTGGTGCAATGCATGAAGTGGCAGGTTACATGAATGCACAGCGTTGGATAATACTGATGAAAAGGTCTCTAAGCTCAAACACAGAAGCCTAGATGCACCAACAGTACAGTGTATATGTGAAAAATATACTTCGTAGAACAAAAATCGTAGAAACGATGTAGTATAGTCATCAAGGCCAAGGTCACTGAAGCTTCACTTGGAACTGAGAACACTAAAAGAAGGACAAGAGTCCAATGAATTTGAGCCAGGGTAGACTTTCATATGTATGAACTATGGAAAACAATATAGTGGGGGAGTAAAACAAGACGCATTCTGACTAGGAAGTCTTCTCCTGATGACCCACTAGGGAACTATAGAAAAGATACCACTTTTGAGTCCTTTTGAAACATCCTCAATTTTTTTTTTCTTTCTAAATGTCATTTCTCTCTGCATCAACCTTTTGTTACTTCCTGTGCCAGAGTTCCAACCAGGAGTGCCATGGAAAGGTATACAAAACATTGACCCTGAATCTGATCCCTATGTGACCCCTGGAAGTGTGCTGGGGGGTACAGCCGCATCTCCCATTGTAGATACTGACCACCAACTTCTGCGGGACAACACCACAGGTAAATATGCAGACATGTAGTGAATAATGATTACTCACTTGTGTTGAGCTTTTACATAGTTAATATGAATGGGGAAGGGGGAGGGAAGCAGTACTCCTCCATTACCACAGAGGGTGAGAATGACATCTACACTGTTAACTGCCAAACAAGTCTTGTCTGTAATTACACATCTGTTGCATTGTCACAGTTAGTTATGTTAGTACGAAATGGATTTGTCTTGAGACTTGACTTATACTGTGGAAGTTCTGTAATATTTGCCTGCAATCTCTTTTTCTTTCCCTTCCCTTTTTTTAGGGTCTAATTCTTCCCTCAACACCTCGCTGCCTTCACCTGGTGCCTGGCCCTACAGTGCCTCTGACAATTCCTTCACCAACGTTCATAGCACTTCAGGTATGCAGGCCTTTGAAAAAAGGGTCACTGCCTAGTCAGTGTAGTAGTTCTTCAGCATTCTTAAGCCATTTTGAATATGATTTTTAGTGCTTACTGCAAAAACCAAGGAATTGAGAGATTTGATCAGCTGGTAGGCTTTTCTGTCTGATAAGAAGATGTTTCATTATAGTTGCATTCAACAGGAAAAAGATACGTTCATTGAAGTTTTCTTCCAAAAGAAAAAGGTCTCAGTAACATGAATCAGGAAGTGGGGAGTAGAAAACAGGCAAGCATTTCTCATCCAGAATCTGTTAGGCTATCTAGTGGAAGGAAGTGGTAGTTCCTTTTCTTTTCTTCTCTTTTTTTTTTTTTTGTTTGGCTCCTGTCTTAACTACTTGCCAAAGAATTTGAATGATTTGTTAGGGAAGGGAAGATCTTGTGCAGTCTTCTAGAAACCTTGTAAACCAAGAGCACTGTTAGGGAAATGTTTCTTTTTAACATCTGCTGTTGTCTTCTCACATTCTGAAGGAGTATGAAGAAGAGGATTTTTAGCTCCAGGGTTTCTGGCCATTAAAGGTCCGTGTTTTCTCCCTGTTATCCCACATCTTGTGTAGGTGCTGAGGACACCAAAGTATTCCTGTTAATGGGCACTCCATTCACTATTGAGTAACTGTTGGAAAAAATGCAACCTGGGGAATCCAATGAGATTTGAAACGTTTTGTGAATTGCAGGCATTGTGTGTTGATGGATGGTTTTGATTAGAAGCAGTCTGAATATGTAGCTTTGTTCCACAATAACATGTACAGTTTATTTTTCTAAGTCAAAACTAGTACTCATAAGTCTGTGTTTGAGGAACATCACCTAACTCTGCTTTGCCTCCATATGACTTTTTTTAACATGTAGGAAAGAAAGGAAAGACTTAAAGTAAAAAATGAGTAAGGTTAAGAGGCTGCACTACTACCCGATCTAAACATGTCTTTTACTCCCATGTTCTTCAACTAACCAAGTATTGTTCTGGTACAGGGAAAATGGGTCATCTGAGTTGGATGTTAGAATTCACTCATCCCCAGCATAAAATGTCCAACTCCATTTATACAACTTTTCAAGCAGTTTAGAGCTAAGTATATATGGTGCAAGTCATTTGCACTTTCTCTCAAGCACCCAGACTCTGAGCACTATAGGTGTTAGTGATCAAAATGTGATGCATTATAAATCTTACTAGCAAATCTGCATTTTTAATTCCAAATTTTGTTCTTACTGTGCTACCCTGGGAAGTGGGGATCCTTAGCTGTTTTTCTCAAATATAAATCAGCACCACCTGTTGACAGCAACTAGAATTTTAAAAAGACATTGACCCATTGTGAGTCAGATTATTCCCTGGATAAGCACGTTTTTGCTAGACAACTTGGCTGGAAAGTACAAATTCTGCATAAGTAACTCTGACTTTAACTGCTAGACTTCATGCACCATGTCTTTTTTTTTTCTTACATCTTTGACTGGATAATCACTGGAATAATCCCTACTCTTCCTGTTATATTTATATTAGTAACTGGGAGTATCAAGTAACATCAAGAGGTGCTAAAGATTGCATAGTCTCCTCTCCTCTGAGGAAAGGAAAACTAGGAGACCTCCCAAATATCTGGAATTGGGGTGTGAAGTTTTCCTATTCTGTTAAAATACTGGGCTTTCAGCTGGGTGCAGGAAGGAGGTCCTTAACCTTCATGCCCACTTGCATTTGTTATCAGCTTTAGCGGGTACATGTCTGGTAAGCTTTCTGAAGCCTCGTGTTAACCGTATAATTATTTCACATGAATGAAATATGTGCTATCTTGGATCGTCATCTGTGTCAAGAAGTCATAGCACTCAGCCTCTTGCTTTGCTTCCCATCACTGTAACAATCCTACAACAAAATTCATCTTACTAGAATACATTCTTAGGAGGCAACATTAGCTTAGTAGAGCAGGGAGTGATGAGACCAACATTTGAGTCCCCAGTCTGCAAACATCTTATTTTGTGACTAAGACAAGTCATTCAACCTCCGTCTGCCTTAGTTAGTAGTTTTTTAAATGAGGATAACATTTGTCCACCCTTGTAAAGAGCTTTGAACTCCTCTGATAAAAGATAGTGCAGAACTGCATGGTGTTATTATTATGAGCGCTCTGGTTTATATTAATATGTGTTATAAATTAGTGTGTAAAGGATCTAGTTTCTCTGTCAGAATATATACAACATGTATTTACCAAATCCGACTTTTTGTTTTATTGGTGTAGTGCATATTAACAGTTGCATGGATCCGGACTGTGCTTGCATCTGGTATAAGTGGGCTTAACTGGCAACAGTAGCTGCATAATTACGTAAATGTTTTGTGGGGTTTAAGGTCCACTAATTCATCACTTTTTTTTATATCTATCTTTACTACAGCAAAATTCAGTGATTACAAATCAGCATGGTCCCCTGATCCCATAGGACACAATCCCACTCATCTCTCCAACAAGATGTGGAAAACCCATATTTCCTCAAGGAACACTACAGGGCTGCCCCGCCCACCTCCTGGCCTGACCAATCCCAAGCCATCATCTCCATGGAGCAGCGCAGCACCCCGCTCGGGCAGGGGGTGGGGGCCACAGGACTCAAGGCTCACTTCTGGTGAGAAGAATCTCCTGATGGCATCAATGCTCAGTTATGAAGGGGGTATGTTATACAGTGCTAACAGTGTGGATATAATGCAGCCTTCAGAAGACAGGAAGTTGTGGTGGCATGGCAAAATGTGAAGAAAAGGACCCAGGAGCTGCTTCAGTGAGCAGTAAGGACAGGGCTGTTTGCTGCCGGAAGAGGATTTATACAAAGGTCCAATGTTGTAGAGTAGCGGGTAGTAGAAAAACAAGCTGTATGGGTGGGAAAGGTCCCTAGCAGACAAACTCTGGCAAAAATGAATCCTGACATTAAATGTAAGAGAAGTATTCTCTTAGATTTCTGTTCTTGGAATCTGTTCTGCTAATACATTTCATGTGGGTGAGTCTGTCTGAGACTAAGAAGTATAGAGTATAGATGAGTAATTATTTGTCAAAGCATTTACTTTTTTCACTTAGTTTCTTCTGACTGTTGTATCTTTTTCGTTGTTTAAATATTTGCAGCCTCCACCTGGAGTGATGGTGGCTCAGTTCGTCCAAGCTACTGGCTGGTTCTTCACAATCTCACTCCACAGGTATTTCCCTCTTTCTTATGTTCTCTTGAAAGGGAGTAGTGCTAAACTGCAGAAAGCAAAGTTTGTCAGCTATTTTCCTGTTCCCTCTTTAATGAAGTTTAACGAGGCTGAATTAACCTGGAGATTCAGCCTAAATACTAGAGTAGTCTGCTTTTACTACAGTAGTAACATTGCTTAACTGGTGTGACACATCTCATCTTCTTGGTAGCTAGTATGTTCAGTATTTATCATTAGACCATCTGAACTGTCCCATCATTACTTACAGGTTTTCATGAATGAATTAATCTCAAGTCCACTTAGAAATGTGGATAAAATGTATGCTCTGCAGCATTGTTTGTAATAGCTCAAGTCTCTGGTTTCTTTTGGACATTGTCAGTAATAGAGCTAGGCAGAACTGCCAGTGTTCACTCTAGTGTTTCCATAGTGAAACCACAGAATGTTTCCAGTACTGCTGCCAAAAGCACAGTCTTGTTAAGCTATTCCATTCTTAGAGCTTGTTTCCATTCACAGTAAATTCTATGGAGATCCTGGTTTCAGCAATCCCAATTAGCCTGTATCCAGGGCTCAACGAAAGTCTATAGGATTATCAACAGCATTCCTGGGGTTGAAGACAAATAGTCCACTGTTCAGTAGGATAATTTATCACACTTGCAGTGCAGCTTTGAAAAATAACATCACTGGGGAAGAGGGCTTGGATCTTCTTCAGATCCCTCAAAATAGCTTACTGCGCTCCCTTTGACATGCAGGGCAGGAGAAGTAGTGGGAAAGAAATTTGCCTCATTATGATGAGGCAAGTTTCTTCTATACAAGGAATGTTTCTCTAACGTTTTGCAATTGTTAAAACTGCAGGAAATATATTCTGGAGATGTTGAGATGACTTGAAAAGAGAAATAAAACAGATTGGTTAAAGGAACAGACTTAACATGCAGTCCTCTTTGTTTTGGGTTTGTATATAATTTTTATAGGTGGGCCCAAGATACAGTTGGAACCAATCTCTCTCTGGTTAAAGCACACCCATTTTACTTTACCACATTAACTTGTACATAATTTTCTTGTTTAAGATGTCATGTAAGCAGAATGGGGAAAACGGGATAATAGTACTACTTTGAGTGTCTGCGTACATGGAATCCTCTCTTGATGTGCATATGTCCCATGCACACCAAAAGTGGAGTTTGCTTTTAAAGCACATTTCAAAGAATCATATTACTATAACATAAGTAACCTGTCTTCTTTGCTATAGAAAAAACTAAAGGCTGCTATTGCTGTAGAAACATGAGTCATTGGGTACTGTTAGTCTGGCAGTCCAGTGATTGTTTTAGTTGTTGATTTCTCAGCTCTCCAACTGGGGAGTGAGATTAAAGGACCCTAATCTTTTACACCATTCAGCAAATCAGTTCCCAGTTTTTCAGATAATATTCTCAAATTGCTGGTTGATCTTAAAATCTTGTTGAAATGTCAAGGGTGGAAAGGAAGAAATCTGGTAATCAAAATGACGTGATTCTTCTGTTGTCATGTTTGACACCCCTAAAAGGGCTTGAAAAACAATTTATACACTACTGGAAAATACAAAGATGCTCACACCTGGGTAATCTCAACCAGGAGGAAGATGGGCTTAAATTGAGCTAAATTAAAATAAGATGTTTAACACAGGAGAGTTACTGATGCCTGCTGGATCTGTAAGATGTAGAAAGCACTCAAGAAAAGGTTCTGCTTGAAAGGACAATCCTATCCCTCTCACCTGTCTTTACATACTTTTTCTGTGACATGAAGTAAAATATTATGTTTTCTTTTAAGTATTTCATTTATGCTAAATGTCTCCAGCTCTTCAAATATATCATAAAAAGATTCAGTAGTCCTTTCTTTCAGTAAATCTGTTGCTTTTCTTCCTCAGATTGATGGGTCAACCTTGAGGACGATCTGCATGCAGCATGGCCCACTGCTGACATTCCATCTGAACCTGACCCAGGGCACCGCCCTTATCAGATACAGCACCAAACAAGAGGCGGCCAAGGCCCAGACTGCACTGCACATGTGAGTTGCCCCAGCAGCATGAATCTACCCTGTTTCCTTTGCCCTTCAGAGCTTACCTTGTCGCTAGATAATAGTCCCGTGTATAAAGAGGTGATTAAGATTCATTTCTGCTCAGTTTTAGAAACTCGCATCAGGGGTCCTCAAAAATACTTCATTTAGCACTAGAAGGGAAACAGTGTGCCATGTCTCAGAAATTATTTGAATGAGGCTTTTTGCAACTGGCTGCAAGAGCTGTTGTGACCAGCATGCAAATATACAAATGTGTCTGCATTTATGAAAATGTGTGACTTGTTTCCAGTGGGCATTAATCTTAAACCTTCTTGAAAACGAAGTTAACTGTGTTTTCAGCTTCAAACAGTCTGAATGCTAAATCTAGTTTTGCTTAAAGAAAAGGTAAAACACTTTGTGGAGCAGGTTTATTTCCTAGAGTAGGAATTCTCAGATGTACCATAGTGTGATCCATATTTGCAGAGATTCCAAGAGGCCGGTCCCTCCAGTTCTTGATTATGTTAGACCAGTGGTTCTCAACCCATAGCCTGCGGGCTGCATACAGCCCAGTCAGCACGCTGCTACAGCCCATTAGACATCCTGTTAATACACTTTTTTTTTAATGGATACACAGGAAGTTGTGGGGTGCAGCCTACCTAACACATTGAGAGTTGCATGTGTGGCCCACTATAGCATATGGGTTGAAAAACCACCGTGTTAGACCATTACTACCTCCTCTGTGTGGCAGCATAGTAACTTTGTGGCAGTGATAGTAGTCGTTTACCATAGGAAAGCACTTAATGGGTGCCTGTACACAAGTTGGGAGGCTGCTCCAACATTCTGTAATTACCACGCTCTGACCAGCCTCCACATCTTGTGTATTGGCATCCCCACGCTTCAAAGTGGCAGAAGGGCCACTTTAACTAAAGCTCATTCAGAGAGCTTTAGATATAAAGTGCCTCTGTCGTCATTTTGAAGTGCAGGGACACTGATACACAAGGTGCTTTGGGTGCTTTTAATTAGAGCAGCTCTCAGAGCATGTGTGAAAAATGCCCAATGTGTTCTTGGCTGTTAATATGATTTAAGCACCTGGACACAAGGAGTGGGTTGCAGCACCGTGTGACCATTTAAGTCATCTGGGATCCTGAGCAAAATGCTTCATAAGCCACAGTTTGAGGGGCTTTTTTGAGGCCACACTTTGCAGTAGAGAAAAGGAGAAAAGAACACCAGCTCCAGCAAAATGAACTTTTCTACAAAGATATTTAAGTGTAGACCTTTCAATTTAAAAATTTCAAAAGAGAAGTATGCTTTCCTCATTGCTTTTTAGTAGCTCCTTTTCCATCTTCAAATGATTCTTCAGTTCTGTTCTCTTTCAAGTAATCTGAAGCCCTGGGGATGCCCTACAATGCAGACATATAATAGGACCAGAATGTGATAAATGGGACTGTCTCATTAATTGAGAGACAATTAAAATAAGTTTTCTCAAAAACTGCAAACTCCAGTGATGGTTTCCTGTACTTGGGCCTCTTGGAATTTGCATAAAAGGGCTCACATTTGGGAGTTTGCAGCGTTTTGGTTGGTTGGTTGGTTTGGTTTTCGGGGGGGGGGGGGACTAAATGATCCCTAGTTATTTTGGAAATGCAAGGCATCCTGGGCACTGACTCCTTTGCTCCCTATTCTTTTCAAAATGTTAAAGCCTAAAAATATCAGAAGCCAAACAAATTTCTTTCGTTCAGTATTTCCTGGGTTTCTAACCTTTTAAGATATGATGCTTTTGAATGGTAAATGCGTGTAAAACCTGGCAATGTGTATCCAACGTTACCTCCCTCTTAAATATATCTGAGGTTTGGTGGGATTATTTATCTTGCATACGCTCATATATAGCCATTGTTAATATTTCATTTCTGTCTGGTTGGTTTGGGTTTGGGTTTGGAAAGCTTTGTTCACAGCCATAAGAACTAAAACCTTAAATTTCCCTTCCAAAAAAAATCAAGCTTTGAGTTCTACAGAGTCTAATCAAAGTGGTCGGATGCTGATGGCTGCCCCCATACCTCTTACTTCTGTCACTGCATGATGATTTTCATAATTGTTCCGAGTACTTATTATTTCATGTTTAAGCCTTTGGACCCTGTGTATTCACTTTGGATTTTAGATGATCTTTTTTTTTTTTTTCACCTCTATCCATTTTTTTTCTTAGGTGTGTATTGGGAAACACTACCATCCTGGCTGAGTTTGCCACAGACGAGGAGGTTAGCCGCTTTTTGGCACAAGCTCAGCCCCCTACACCTGCAGCAACCCCAAGTGCACCCACGGCAGGCTGGCAATCCCTGGAGACAGGACAGAACCAGACAGATCCAGTTGGACCTGCTTTGAATCTTTTTGGTGGGTCAACAGGGCTTGGGCAGTGGAGCAGCGGTGGTGGTGGCGGCAGCAGTGGGGGCGATCTCGCTGGCGCTTCATTATGGGGGCCTCCAAGCTATTCTTCAAGCTTGTGGGGGGTCCCAAATGTAGAGGATCCACACAGGATGGGCAGTCCTGCTCCCTTACTACCTGGAGACCTTCTGGGAGGAGGGTCGGATTCAATCTGAACTTAGAACTTTCAACTCTGACCTCGTGACCTTTTTTGGAACAGCAGCAGCACTAACTTGACCTTTTCGTTTTTTTTCAACTTGCAATAAATACATTTATAAAAGGAAAAAAGAAAACGGAGAGAGAAAAAAAGGTGGGTCATTGACAGACTGTCTGAGCACATAGTTGCCTCCCTTATATAACTTCAGTTTTTTCGTTTGGAATATGAATCCAAAAAGAGAACATATCACTCTTGAAATACTTGAATCATGAACGCCAACTTAGAAAGACAATGTGAAGCAAGTACACATACCATTTAAATTTAAACACAAAAAATTAAAAAAATTAGTTTCTAGTTTTTCACTTTTTCATGTTATACGGAAGTTGTTGCTAAGAAACATATATACTGAAAAAAATAGCTTTTTAACTTTGTTTGCACTGGGTGTGTTTCCGTCCTTAGGTCTACCATGTTGGGGTGGGGTTGGGGGGGTGGTGC